GACTACTAACCCCTAGGTCGGTGGGTCAAACCCACTCTGTGGTGATGCGAAAGAAAGGCCTGGCAACCTGCTCCCATAAAGATTACAATGAAGAAGCCTCTAGGGAGCAGTTCTACCCTGTCCTTCACGGGGTTGCCATGGATTTGAAATGGACTCCACAGCCATGGGTTTGAGTTGGGGTTCAAAGAGTACCAGGCTTTTGTTTGGGTGAAGCAGAGGAGGATGAGGAGTTGGAGTCGGAGGAGAAGGAGTTAGACTAGAAAGGACAGCTGTGTGCAGAGAGCAAAGGGTGAACTAGGAACCTAGGACCCCAGGTATGGATGGAGCTGTGTCATGAAGAAATGGGTGTTGAGGGACTGAAAATGAACAGAATTCCTGTGCAGCAGGATGTGGGGCAGGCAGAGTTGGAGAAGAGAGGCCAAGAGGTCCTCAGGAGGCATTTTGAACAGGAAGGGTCAGAAAACATAAAACGGCAGACAGATGTGGAAAGGGGAGAAAGCGGAAGAAGCCTGGTGGAAGAGCAAGCGGAGCTGGCATGGCCAGGCAGGGGTGTCTGCGCAGGGACAAAGGGCAATGGGAAGCACGCGCTCAGAGACTAAGATGTTCATCCAGGTGCTGGGGGACAGGGGTGCTGCTCCACAGACAGGCCAGCTCGGAGCCCACCACGTTGGAGGAGAGAGAAGAAGGACCCTTGCTTTGAACAAGGCAGCAAGGTCAGCAGAGGCACGCCAGGAGACTGCTGGAAAAGTGGGTCAAGTAGTACCTTCAGAGGCGGAGCTAGGGAACTAGACTTTACTCTTCTTCGTGTGGGTGTGCCAGGTGAAGCCAAGGCAGGCCATGGGCGGGGGTGCCAGCATGGGGGCGGAGAGAGGGAAGAGCAGAAGACTGTGAGCCAAACCAGGAGGTTGCTTCCAGAGGCTGAGTGGCATATCCGCCGAATGAGCTGCCCCCAACCCATTACCTGAGCCTGGAGCCCTGGGTGATGCCAGCGACCGCCCAGGGAACACATCTCGGAGGAAAGGCCGAGTGATTTTCTGCTGAAAATCTAGCCCTTCCTTGCAAACGCGCTGGAGCACGGTTTTGCTTGACCACACATTCTCCCAAGTTCAAGGGGAGTGTTTGAAGATTCTGTCTTTCCTCCTTTCCTTTCCCCTGCCCTCTTTCCTGCCACCCCCACCCTCCCCCCCAATTCTTTCCCGCCACATTCTTGCTGGATTTTGGACTGGCTACTTGCGTGAGAGGTCATTCCTGACCTAAGGGCCGGAGCCTGGCCTCTCACCGCCTACAGCACTGTTCATGGCTGATGGGGGAGGGGCCTTTCTCTGCTTCAGTGTTGTGACCTTGTGGCCCTTCCAAGCACGACAAGCGAACAGAGACATCACTAACCCTCGGGTAGCTTTTCCTCTTGGTATGGTCTGAAGCATCTCTTATGAATCTCTCAGGAACCGCAGAGGGTGCCATGCCAGAGACGGGCCACTCCTGGCATCGGGGTGAGAGTTATTTGATACTCAAGGCTGTGATGCATGTCTGGCAAAGCAAGGCCCCACTGGGTGTCACATGGCCTGAGACCTTGGGTGCAGGTCCCTTTGGGGCACTTTACTATTGTATGTCAGTACCATGGTCAAGGGAGGGACTGAGAACCAGGTGGGTGCAAGTGGGCACAGAGGGGAAGCTGACATCCTCGCCTGTGCCCCTCCCCCTGCTATGCAATACCTCCCCCTCTCCCCCGAAAGCCTAAAATCCACTTAACACAAAAAGGTAAATACCTCTTTTGTCTTCGTACGCTGAGCCTTAAAAAAAAAAAAAATCCCCCCATACATGTTTTCAGCTGAACTCTCTGTGGAAAGGCTTATGGGTTCAGTTAACGAGGTGCAGAAGTATTGCATTTCACTTGGAAGCCCATCCCTAGAATACCACAACACTTATTCCAAAGTCTGGTTTCCTGGTGCAGTCGGACACATGGCAATTGTGCGTCTCTGCAGAGCCCACCCCGCCTCGCCCCCAGGTCAGGACCAGGAAGGCATTTGATCCAAGCGCACCCCAGACGGCTTTTTTATTGTTAAAGGGCTGCTCTTAAGACAAACTGCCCGTGTCCCATTTTGGAAACTTGATGTCTCCACACACTTTTGACTGGCATCCTACTTTAGCGTTGAGCCCACGATTTACAGCTTTGTTTTTCCTCTTACTTTGGGATGACAGCGCAAACCAGAGACCCTTTCCAGGCTCTGTGGGTCAGGAGCAAAAGAGGACAGGGGTTTTGCTTCTCCTGGGCAGGCTGTCTCTAGCGCTGCCTTTCAGCTTGCTTCTCAGGAGCAGACACGGCCACTCACTGCCCACTGCCATTCATCGAGCTCTGAGCAGCAGCCCAGCTGCCGTGTCTGCCGGGAGGGGCTGCCAAGGGCCCTGCCTACTGGCTGCTTCCCGAATCCCTGCCATTCCATGCACAAACACATCCCCACATGCTCTGCCTCGCTCACACACGGACCTACTTGCACAGGCGAGCACACGCCTGCCTCCAGCCTCCTGCCTTGGCCCCTGGAACATTTCTGGAAAGGCGCTTCTGATCCCACAGGGTAGGCATGTTTTGATTTCTCTCTGTTGCTCTTGCGTTTTCAGATAGCAACTTACCTAGCTAGCCAGTGTCTGTATCCAAGCAGGAGAAGAGCTTTTGCTGCCTGTCTTGGGGGCTTGTGTGCGGCGCACCTGTCTCTTTCAGAACGTGTGCAATTTATGGATCAGTCGGCAGCTTCGGGTTTTTAAGAGCCCTAGGAAGTGCTTTTGCCCGGGATTGGGGTGGTGGGGAGAATCAAACAAAAATTCAACAACACAAACAAATAGCATTTCACAATTGAAAATGCAATGTACAGAAATTAAATTATTTGTTAAAACTGAAAGGAAAAAGAATGACTTTGGCAATAATGGTTACTGACCTGAAAGAGACACATCTTTGGCTCACCTGATGCATTTTTAAAGCACCCTCTGCCTCCACACCACCCCTGGCCCTAGCTTTTTTTTTTTTGCTTGCAACCTGTTGTTATTGGTGCTAAGTTTTATTTTGGCTTATTATGACTATCAGCTACATTTGCATATAGCCTCCAAAAACTCTGTCTGTTTTTGTCAGAATTAGATAAAAATGCATACTTACTGGCATACAAATAACACAGTGTCATTAACAGCAGCGCTAGCATTTATATACAACGCGCCCCCCCAAGCGTTTGGTGAGGTACCCAGTTGGGGGTTTGGATAACCATTATAGTCAAGCTAAAGAAGTTTGTTACCAAGTATAACTAGCCAGGATTATGCGTGCCTGTGCATAATCTTCTAGAGTGCATTCACTAGTGGAGATGTGTGTATATACATATATATACACATATATGTATATATATGTATATACACACAAACACTTTCAATTCCATTCAAAAACTTTTTTTCTGCTTTCCCATTTCTCTTTCATCTGGATATTAGATTCTGCATATCCTAGCAATCTCAATGATAGGATTAGTGAACAGAAACTCATCAGAGCATTTCAACACCTGTGGTTCTGACCCACAGCCTCTGTAAGACATGGCCAATGGCTGGGCTTAGGGCCCGAGGTTATGTCTGAAAAGTCGGTTTCCTATGGAGTTTGCTGAAGTTCTGGCTGCATAACCCCAGGAAGGCTTGGACACCATGCGCGCCTAACCCAAGTTTTGTTGTGGCTCATCCTTCACAGGACAGTGGACCACGCTGTGGTCAAATGCAAACATGGGAGCTGGGTTGGAAGGGCTGACCCTGGCTGGGC